CAGATCTTTACCTTATTCACATAAACTCATGGGTTTCATCAAGAAAACGTTCCCTCCAGCACAGATCCCTCACTTCTGGGGTAAATCTCTTCTAGGTATTGCACAATTATATAAACCAGGAGAATCCATATGATGTTGACAGGGCACTGTTGGGATGCCTTTTGCACTTCAAGCCCTCTCCAGGGCACTCCTCCCTTGCCGGTAATGGAAACCAAAATTCACAGCTTCACTCAAGTTGTACTTTCCTCTTCACACAAGTCACTAGAATGATCAGAAAATTATATCTGCACCACCTGCTTCACTGATGCACTTCCCACATTTCCTACCTCATTTTAATAAAACACAGTAAAGAATGGATAAAGAACTAGCCCTTAGCCAGTGTAAAGAGTCAGTTCATGTCACCAGTTGTCACACTGCAAAGAACCAGCAGATATCACCATGTGGAGCTTTTCTCCTTCCTCTCCAGACCATAAGCAATTCCTCCTAAAGTCAAACTGGAGTTATTTCTTTACTACATAAAAGAAATAGATATTTGAATAATTAAATATAGAATACCAGATTCATATCTATAAACATTAGCCATACTTGCAATAGTGGGAACTTCATATAGCTCTGGATTTCATCAGGTTGGTGAACAGAGCCATCACCAGTCTCTAAAATACAACAGATCTATTCACAACAGTTTTTTATTATTTGGCAAGATCTAATCCTGCCATGCTTATCTGGCTGGACTGAAATGTCTCACCAGACTTTCATGATCTAAGCAGGTTTCACTTATCCATGCTGCATAGTCAGCTTCAGGACAGGCCAGCCAAATGTCCTTAGTTAAAACAGTCACAGACACAATGACGACAACTCCTCATTTTTAGCTCAACCTGTCATTCATCTTTGTATCAAACAGCTTCTAGGTACAAAAAGTAGAAAAAGCTTTCAGTGTGCCCGTAAGACAATACTGCCCCTACTTCCTTTTTCATTACTTTTTAGAGTGGAGAACTCTTTCATGTTTGTCACTATTCAAACCTGTTTATGATGCCTACATATCTAAAACAGAAAAGCAGAGGCATGCAAGGCACAGGATTTGCATAGTACAAGATCTCCAGATGTTGCTCTCTAGCAACACCGATTACTGCAAGTGGCAAGGCAGGCGAGCCAGGGGTGATCCACAAGGGCCAGAAGTCTGGCCACGAGAATGTCTTCTAAAGACAACACATTTACAAAGGCAGGTCTTGCTAAGCAGACAAGCAGCACTCTCTTAACCACCTTTGAAAACACCACCTTTGAAGAAAAAAACTCATTAATTCACACTGGTTACTGCACAGTAGTTTTGGAAGGATACCTACCGTGGTAGGAGGAGGAAAGAGTAAGGACAGGTGGGTAGTGCCATGAGAGAAACTCAATTTTTGTTGTGATGAGAGCCTTTGCCCTCAATCCCACGTTCCTTCTCAAATATGTCAGTCATTTTTAACACTGTATAGAAATAAATATCACTGAAAAGGAAGGAAGGAAGGGGACACGCTTGATGTGTGACGTGGTACTGCCCAGTGGGCATACAAGAAACACACATCAGGCATTTCCCTTTCTCTTCCATCCAGTGATATGCATGAATCCTAATAAGGCACCAGCACTGAGAACAAATAATACAATTAGCCAATAGGTACTGGTTGAACACTGCATGGAACCCAAAAAGGAAGAGTTTCAAATTAAAATCCACTACCCTGCTCATGTGTAGGGTCATGAGCAACAGAGAGACCAGACCTTGGATCGCTCTGGCAAGTGGATTTCATCCGCATAAGTGATGTGGTGGGAATGTGCTCTGTAATGAACATGAGTCTGGTGATGTGATGGCAGGGAACCATCACTGGTCCTATGCTACAGGAAGAAATCTGACTTAGATGACCCCACTTTCTGTCAGTGTTAGATGTGTGAAAATACATGGTCTAGTTCTCCAAACACTCACATTAATTTTATGTACTGTTACTACATTTTCAGTGAAAAAACTCCCGATTTATAATCAGTGTAAGTAGGAGGAGGATTAAAACTAAAATATCTCTAGTGAAATAGGTGTTCAAAGAGTTTAGTAAATAATTTGCTATGAATAATTAATTTGAAAAAATTGATATTTTTCCCTAGTCCTGTACAGACCAAGAACAGAGTGTGAATGTTTAACATTTATATGCTACTTGCAATTATTTGTGAACTACATCAAATAATTTCCAGTGTACAGATAACTCAAATAGGAAATCATGATTATTAAATAAAATACAGAATTTACAACTCCCATAGCAAATTATGTCTTTTGACTAATTTATGTAATGAGCTTAGCTAGCCTGCCCTTCATGGATTTCAAACTGCATGTTCAATATTTGCAATTATCTGCACGGGCAGCAGTTACATAAGTCATTTGATCAGCAACAGAAACTCTACCATGTAGGATGCAGTCAAAACAGCAAACCCAGCACATTCTACAATTTCTAACAATTCAGAAAATACTGAAGCTGTCAGTTAAAATTTACAGCTGAGTCTTTTCTGTTCAAAAGTGCAGTAGGAAGCTTTTCCCCTCTTCAGTGAGCACTACCGTCTATAGACAGACATGGAAGAGGTGGTATAAATGTGAGGTGTTGCTTGTTCCTTATTTTTTGTCCAGAACATTAAGTGTGTTGCTTAATGTTTTTAATAGGTAAGCAGCACTTAGGTGTTGCCTGAGGTTGTCACTGCGGCTGGAGAGGGAATGGGGTGCAGCAGGAGAACAAGCAGCTTAGCACATGTGAAAGAAAGGCTTGGGAAAGGCGTGGACATTGACAGCCAGTCGAGACAGCTTGAAAGAAGATTTGCTCCAATTTTCAGCATGTATAGGATTCCCTGTATTCCCCTTTTTGAAAAACATTTGAAGGTGGGATGCGAAAAACTAAATGCTGTAAATCAAATCACCCTAATGATAGTTGCTGACCCTCAATTAGACCAAACTGTGGCCTTGCTGAAACATATGGGAGTTTGGTCTTTAGCTGGGATGGAACCAGGATTTCACACTTGATCCTTACAGTCAGGGTTGTGCTCTTCCTCTCTGTCCTTATTAAACTGTCCTAATGGGGCCTCTTCCTTCTAAGTCTAACTGCTTCATGTCTCAGCCCCATTACTCCTAGGTATTTTTATCTAGCTGACTGAACAAATCTGAAATAAGCCCAGATTTGGCACAGAGCAACTTCTGCTGGCTCCTAGTGCTCATTATAACTGGCTGTCTCATTGTTGGTGTTGGATAGTCCGCAGAAGAGTGAGAGGGACTAAAGAGCACCATAAAGCATGCTTAGAACAAACAGTCCACTGCTAGGATATATATGACAGCAGCTAAAGTGATTCCTAAAATGTCTGCCCTAGGTTTGGCACAGTAAAGCACGACTGTCAGCAATGGGTATTTCCTTATGACAGGAAAGCAGCTCCACTAAACTGCAGTGCTGCCTACCACTTCTAGGTCATCTGAAACACTGGGAGGGAGGTAGCAATCTATTAGAAACATAAAATAAAAAATATGTTTGAAAACATACCCAGACAATAGATCAGCCTCTCCCATTATCTGTTGCCTTCTACCTTTAACATGAGTTTTGGAGATGTTTTTCTTTGCAATTAACATTTTTACTGTTGTCATTTTCCCTTTCTCACCTTCTTATGTTCTCTTACCACTTTATTCAGTGGTGAAGGTGACAGTTTTTACATCTAAGGTACTGATAGGACCAAAAATTCATATTCAATCACGGAAATAACTGGCCTGATTTTCCTCTGCACATATAAATCTTCTTTTGTGGCAGATGGAAATTACTCACATGACACTCCTATTCCCATCCGTGTAATAAAGTTAAGGCTGTTGAGGTTTATGGTATTATGTGCAGGTTAAATTGATGAGTTAAAAGTGAGTCTAGTTATCTGCATAGTGGTAATGCTGTCTCCTCTGTAGTCTCAGATGTAGACAGGTACCTCCTTAGTTATTTTCTGCACAGAACTATGGCTCCATCTGCACTTGTGACTCCTCCATCTCATCTCCTTGGTGAATCTATTCCATCAGAGCCCTTATTGTGAGCACATGGGTGAAATTTAGGAAGTGGGGTGCTGGATGATCCACAGGCCATTCCCTCTCCCCCATTCACATGCAGCCTTATCACTGTCAGACACCACAGGGCACGCTCCCTCAGTCTGCTCGTTGCTCTTTTGCTTTCAAGAAAGTTGGCAAGTCTACCAGAGGAAAAAGGTGAGTTTTGTTTGCCTTAAACATTTAAGACAACACAATGGTAAATACTGGCAGTTTTAACACAGAACTAGTACCTTCACCTCTGTTTCCCTGACAATTTGAATGAAAAGCAAATGATGTTCTGCCTGTGAATAAAAAACTTTCCTACTTGACTGAAGGTGTCTGATACCATGACAAATAAAATACTGGTGAGTTTGAAGGCAGTACTGAAATGCATAATGCTAGAAACACAAACTCTTTTTTCTAAATAAGAAGATGCTTTAATAGAAGTACTTTAATGAAGTTGCTTTAATGAAGGACTAATTCCCTGTAAGTGATGACATTTGAAAAAAGATGTTACAAGCAGCTTCTTATTCAGAAAATAGCAGCCAAGATCAATAAACAAATCAAAATGTAGGCATATTATTGATGCAGATACTGATGCAGATAATGTAGGCATAATACTGCTAAAAAGGGTTGAATTTGGTGAATAAAGCTGATGAAATAGAATAGCTGATATTAATTCTATTGATTCTGACTTCAAGTAGCTAGTGTTCAACCAGTTTGGTTTTTATATGGCCTTGAAAGATATGCCAACTATAGCTGCTAAATCCATATTGCAATTAGAAACGGTTACCTTTGTTGATCAAAAAAATATGAAATGGAAGAAAAGAAAAATAACATACCATGTTCACACACAAAACAAAAAGAGCTATATCAGGGACATCAGGGAAGGTGGAATACTATAACAACACATTTTATATTGTTATACTATTCCACCCACCTTAATGGAGAACCCTTCGGTGTGGCTACGCCATAGCCTTTCGAATCCAGATTTCCTCCCACTTTCATGGTGTCACAGGGCTTTCGCTGCTCAATGTATTCATTCATGGTGGACTCCAGCAGGAAGGCAAACTTGCCCTTGGATTTGCGGACACGAGCTACTCCCTCTGCAGTAGTCCTAGTGAACACTGATGGCTCTGCTGATTTCATGTAGGTCCACATCTTTTCATACACTGCTATTTTTGATCTCTGGAGAAAATTAAAAATGAGTTAGAACAAAAGAATCTTGCAACATTTCAGAATGGCAGTGTTCAAAATTAAAAAAATCATATTTAATATTTTCAACAACTAGGGTTGGGAAAAGTGCACTTGGATAAGGTTTTTCTTTGAATTCTATTATTATTTTAAAAGAAACAAGAAATAACAATATCAATACTATAAAATCAGAGGTTATTTTTAAGCCCAGTTAGCCTCTAGCAGTCACAATAAAAAAATTGGAAAGCTAAGACCTGAACATACAGTTAGATAAAGGCAGTTCACACAGTAAAAGTGTTGTGAAGTGTGTTGTGGGAAATTATATATGAAATAGATATCCACAATAAACCTTTATGTGAAAGAGAAACAATAAAATAATCTCCCCATAAATACTGAGCTGAATCTTGAAACATTTCTCAGCTCTAACTCCCACTTCTTACACCGTCAAAACCACAACAGTTTAAGTAAGATTTCTGTTTTCAACATTCAGAGTCCAAAATACATTCAATTTATGTTCAGAAAGGCTGCACAACATTTCAAGGCATGGTTCACAATAAAAGACATAAACAGCAAATTGGACCAAGTATGCTATTAAAGGAAACAAAATGCCCTAAGCCTTTGTTGTAAAGAAGTATTAATATGTTTTTAGAACTGCAGTATCAGTGGATTTATTTTAAAGACTCTGATCCTGCAAGTGAGTAAGAAATGTGCTTGCTCAAAGAATGTGCAAGAATTCATGGCTTACAGTGCATTAGTTGGAAATTCTCCTGTCTGGGAATGCATGGTGTTATCACAAGTAAAGACGTAAGCAAAAATAAAACATAAAAAATTACAATAATAAAAAAATTCAAAGGAAGGGAGGAAGGGAGGAAGGGAGGGAGGGAGGAAGGAAGGAAGGGAAGAAGTAAGGGAAGAAGGGAGGGGAGGAAGGGAGGAAGGGAGATAAATGTTGCCAGGCTGAGAAGCTTCCCATGGTTGTTAGATTGATTCAACAACTCCTTACTTCCTTGAGCAACAGGGATACATACATGCAAATCAGCAGTGCAACAGCTGAACACTATATGGTGTTTTTATTTCATAACAGATGGTACTTGTGTTCTCTTACGCATGCTACAAAATGGATTTTTAACTCAGTGTTCAAGTCAGCTTTTATTTGAGCCAACAAGAGTTTCTAGCTAAGCAAGATTTGGTCTGTGAGACCATTCCTACACTGTGCTGAGCACTCCAGGAAAATATACATTTTTATAAAGCCCCAAAACAACGGGACTTAGAATATTTAAACAAATATAAAATCCTATAATCTAGGTATTATTTACATTGACAATGGCTCTAAAATGCCTGCAACTGAGCCTTTTTATAGGTAAAGAGTAATTTCCCTGAAGCACTTCTTTTTACCAATTACTGAATGACTGGTCTAACTTGAATGTAAGTGGCATTTAAACAGAAATGTTCAATAAAATTAACATATAACAGAACATGATAAATTATCCTTGCTTTTTTTAACTTGTCTGTATGCATCACTTTATCTTTCTGTCAAATATAATAAAATTTAAATTAACAACAGCTGTGCATGTCCATAATCACATCCTGCCTTTTCACCCTCTCTTTCCACTGCAGTCACAGCTACTTTTCATTTACATAATAGTGACTGAGAGCAGGGTGTTAGCTAAGCCACCGATGTATTCTTTTTGCTTTACACTGATGTAATTTCATGGATTTAAATTTACAGAAAGAAAAAAATGGAAAGGCAGTAATGAATAGAGCATAATTTGAAGAACAGTTACGTGTCTTTGTCTGCCTTCACTTCCAATATTTTTTACATCTTAAAATCCATCAGATTCTTCATAAAGGAAACATCTAACAGGTCACTTGCCTTAAAAACTAAAAACATGCAACATGTAAAATAGTTGTCTTAGTAAGAGGAAACAATGGCCTATCTCAGTTGAAAAATGTTGCATTTAGATCTTTCTGGTTTTTAGGATGTAGTTTCCCTTGCACATCAAGAGACAAAAAAATACAGTAAATGTAACAAGGCATCTGCTCTCTGTAAGAACATTCTCTTCTCCCAAGCTTTCATTTGCTAACATTAAATTTCTACACGTCACTTTGAATTAGAGTGAAAATTAAAGAGTGAACCAACAAATAATCCTTATTATAACTTGAAGAAACATTGCAGATTTCCCCTGAATTTAGCCAGGGTAGGATAATTTTAGTTTAGCACATTTTTAAGTAGGACTGCTAGAACCAAGTTCTCTTCCTCTTGAGCAAGCTGCTCAGAAAATGAAACTCACTGTGTTCGAAACAGGAAATGAGTAAATAGCTAATAGCATCAAAGTCTTCTTTTTCTTTATGTTGCCTTTAAAATGACTTTTCCCTTTTCTCTTTTCAATCTGGAATCAAAGCAGACTGAATAGCTCTTCAAAGTTTCTGACATTTTGATCAGAAATGATCAAATTATTAGAAAACATCCTGAAGGCTCATCTTCAGCCAGAGACTAATCACTGACAGAAAAGTTACGTATGACGTTAATCCCAAAACTGACGATGTTTGCTTCCAGCCGCATAAAATGTTAGTCTTGGGAAGCAGGTCTTCTCCTGTGATTGTTTCAGGCTAGGTCTTAATTTATGTATTATGCAAACAGTGTTTGTGCAAATATTGTCTGTCAATGATCATTTATCTTTGTCATTGATCTGTGAAAAACTATTTTAAGAAATAGCACATACAATATTATTAACAATCACAACACTGTTGCAGAGAATAGAAATCATTTGATAAGAAAGCCTCAATTACACTATTTAAAAAAAGTGAACACACCCTAGATCTTGACAAAACTTCAAATTTTACATACGTGACTACATTTAATATTTGCATTTACTTTTGATGTTTTCCTTTGTATTCTGAAATAAATGGGAAAAATGGGAAAAAAGAGAACATTGGCTGATTTTTCTCTTAACCTCTTAAGATTAAAGTGAAGGAATGGCTGTCACTATAGACAATGAATCTTCTCTTTAAAGAGACATCTTGCATTAAATATTGATTCAAACAAAAAAGTATCTGTGTTTACAGGATGGTTTAAAAGACTCATGAAAGTTTTGTGACCAAGATTGGTTTTATGTCAAAAAACCTGACCTCATTACTTCAGAACAATAGCTTGTAAAAGTGTTTTGAAACTCTCAAGAAAACAACTCAATTCCTTTGTTCTTTACTATTCCTTGGGAATTAATTTTTGGATCATCACCTAAAAAAATTGAAAGCACTGGATACTCTTGAAAATGCAACAAGTCAATAAATCCAAAGTTAAAGAAACCTGCCTAGTCCTCAGCATCATGTTTTTAACTATCATCACAGCTTCATTCTAGTTAAAAGAACAATTCGTATACATATATTGTGGTTACCACCCCAACCTGCGATGGACTGAAACTGGAACTCCCAGAATTAAATACATGACTTTCCACAAATTGAGCTAAAGAAGAATCTATGGTTTAAGCAAATACAAACATAAAAAATGAGTGCTGAGGGATTATATTATTTTTTAAAAAAACTGGAAATCTGGCCGTCTCAGGATCAAAATACTTCAATTCTCAGACAGGCCTCCTATATTTTAATGCACCATTTTTGTAGACATCTGATGTGAAATCAGGGCTTCCTGGGGTAAAAAAAAGGGCTCCCAGAGAACATCTTGTCATATTTAGGTGTATACCAACACCCTGGCTATAGAGGAAGACAGGTGTATTTAGAAACCTATCACTGAATGTATCCATTAAAAAATGAGTTACCAAGCACTCTAGCCATTTCAGTGGGATCCCTCAAGAGTCGATGCAAAGAGGACGATACTTTAAAGGGTGATTTATTTCCATGTAACACGCTTGTCCTGTACAGGATGCACAGTGGTGCTTTTCATTCTGCAGTATTTACAGAAGAAATCTAGAAAACTAGCTTAGACTAAACTCCTTGGACAGCTTCACTATGTGAAGGCTCAATCACTGTGTGCTGGTCAAGTGTCATTTATATCCTGTAAGGCATAATTTTTTTGCAGATAATAGAAAACATTTGTAAGTTCTTCTGTGGTGGTATTTCTTGCAATACAAAGGTTATTTTACTACAGACCTTTTGAGGGACACTCAGCAGTTGCTCTTGAATTCATACTGTCTGTAGTTCACAAATACAATCCATAGTTTTGTAATGATTCACTGAGTTCAGTTTGGTCAAAGTGAAAATAGTCAAGGTGCATGGGAGTACCTACCACAGAAAGTTCCCTTTGAATTAGACAATAAGAAGAAATTATCACTCCATCTTCCTTTCTTCTAAAAATGCCCTAAACTGCACCTTTCAGATAAATAATTATCCTAAACTGTGTAATTTCCAAGGAAGGATTACTGGCTCACAGCATTTATTCAGAGCCATGTTCAAACACTAAACTCACACACGTTCAATCAGCTGGGCTTAACTTTCATCTGCTAGAGACACAAAATAAAGCAGGAGGGACTGTTCATTATGTACTCCTTGCAATGTCCAGGCTCCCTGTTTTCCAGCTGGCAAACAAGGAGGTTTACATACCAAGCACACTAACACAGGGAAGCAAATGAAAATGAAGTAATCAATACAGACAGCACAGACATATGAATTGCTATTTAGGCTGTTTCCTAATGCTCCAACCACATCCCCCTGAGATATATTTTCTCTTTATTATTCATCTCAAAGTCAGCAAATTAAAAAATGCACTTCCTGCCCGCCACCCAAGACCCTAAGGCAAAATGCACACAGTCAAATCCATAAGTAGAAACAAACCCTGCAAGACTCCATGTTGTCATCATAGGCTTTCAATGCTGCACATCATTTCAGTACTGTAGCTTCAGATGAATCAATACTGCAATGCCGTTTTAATTGTCACTGGCTTCAGTATCCCCTGGGGCAATCCCTCTTTTGCCCAATGCGACAGGATCAATAAGCTTTCCACAAATTAAAATAACTGAAAACACCAACAAATGGTGGTGTGGGGATAAAAATGTGCCTAAAGTATTGTAGGAGTTACAAACTATATTACATATAATAGCAAAGTAACATTATTTCACTCTTCCAAGTATCTTACACGAGCAGCCAATAGGAAGAGCTGCTCTAGTGGACATGCCAACTTACTCTGAAGAACTCTTTGGTTGACCCTGAGTCCAGCGTCCCATAAGCAATTTCGGTTTGTTTGGCAAGGTCTTCTGCACTTTCTATAGGTGAGACCATTCGCTCAACAGTCAAGAAAGCAGCGAGGTTAGCAGTGTAGGATGAAATAATGATGAGTGTGAAGAACCACCAGACACCTCCAACAATGCGACCTGAGAGGGATCTAAACATGAATAAGATAATGCACATTTTCCTGTCTCTTAAGCCATGTAACCGAGAAAGAAAGAAGGCACCATTATTGCTGTATATGTATCATTAAATAAGTCAATGAAGGGAGATAATTTGAGTTTTAAATACTAATAAATGCTTTTTCTCTTGAATCTTAATGACGACAGTAAGGAGTCCACTGTATTAACACATACCATGAGCATACAGAAGTTTGAATTCTCTTGAACAGTAATCTCAGTGTTCTTACTATTTCAGGAAATGCCTAACATAGCAAAAATTTTGTCAAAAATAATGGATAGGTAATCTCTTTTTGAATAAAAGTAAAGCATGGCAGCTGCAAATCAGTAGCTTTCTCTGTTTCCTTTTAAAAAAAAGGACAAAGGTCTTTGTACATGGATTATGTTGGCTCTAGGATTAAAGTGTTCCTGTCACTCCAACTTATCAAACATTCTACAAGCTACTATGATCATCTGAACTTTCACATTTTTCTTATTTAAGAAGCAAGCATTTTGTGGTAACAGAGATATTTATGTTAGGTAAAAAATGGTATTTTCCATTTAATACCTGTAATTTGATAAGAGGGCTGTTGAGGAGCAATGTACATCCAATCTTAAGTAGCAGTTTTATTGCTATCTTCAATAATAGCAGAGTTAGGCCAGTGCTGAACAGTCTCAAAATCTCACTGTTAATGGCTAAACTGAAACATTCAGGTTTGAAAGACTGGATCATAATGTTCAATTAAGAAGTTGTAGTTACTGCATGCTAAAATTTCAGAACATCTTAAAAGGTTGAGAGTTTCTGGACTGGGATCATATATTACATCTGAGGCACCTGTTCTGTAAGGCATAGCTTAGCCACACAGCGTAGCTTCTCAGAAACAGACGGTCAAATATTCTCTCTCTCACAGACTGTTCTGTGCTGTTCTGGAAGCAGTGCTATAGAACTTGAGAGAGAACAGAAATGGGACATTCATTCATGCAGAGCAAATATTCAGCATAATAGTGTGCATTTTGTAATTGTAATACAGTGCAATTAATTTAGCAACAACACAGTCCCTCTGAAATCAACTCAGTGGAATTGCCTTGTGTGTACCTGCTGTTTCCGAGAGCTGTTTGTGGTTTATGCACATTGACATGCATAAAATAATAGTAATGATTGAAATTTCAAGCAGATTCTCTGTTGCCCTTATCATAGCTATCAAAAAAGAAAAAAAATAAGAAAAGACATCCCAAAGAATGAACTTCAAAACACTGCCAGGAAAATAAACGAAGGAAGATTTTATGCCTCAGTGTTGAAGATAAAATGCAAATGTAAAAAGATTTGACACAAACCTTGGGGAAATATCACATCCTTGTTGCATGAAGGCACCCAGGGAAAACCAGAGGCTGTTGAATATGCCAAATTCATTGGGAGGCTGGTCACTGGGTCCTTCTTTCCCATCCTCTGGTTCTTCTGTGTGCCACTCATATGGGCTAAACCTGCTAACTAGGAACAGGACCACACTGACACCAATGTAGGCAAAGACTATGCACATCCAGATCTCATACGCCAAAGGGTCCAAGAAGGAAAACACTCCTGGTTTAGATTTCTGGGGCTTTTTGATCATAATGGATATCCCCAAACTCATAAAAGGCTTAGAAAAATCAATGACCTCTTCTCGTACCAAAGTGATGGTCAGAGGCGCAACAGCAATCTCTGCTTTCTATAAAAAAAAAAGAAATATAGATGTATAGATTAATTGGAATTGGCTTATACACTCAGCTACTCCAAAGGTATGTCATTAACATCAGGATACTGTGGCTTAAATGTTCTTTATATCATCTTTCTGTTTGTTTCTATCACAGTCTATATTTACTCAATAGGCTTTTAGCAAAACATACATAATGCAGGTTTTTATTTTACAGAATTATAGAAATTCTTACTTTCCCTGCTAAGGACAAGATTCTTAAATCTTATAGAGGTAAGCAGCAGTCCAGGTAGATAATTTGAGGTATTATGTTTAAAGTAAAGGAATTAAAGGAAGAATGAAAAATGAGAATGACCCTATTGTCACTGAATGTATATAATGTATATACATATAATATAAATATTTGTATATTTTTATAATATTCCAGAAACGATAATTTATGATCATATTTTCATAAGATACAGTAATTCTTCAAGGGAAGCCAGATCATAGACTCAAGGAAGTTCCAAATAGCAGGAAGCAACAAAGGTGATTAACTGTTGCTGTGATGCCACAAAACCGCACACAGTTTTCCTGGGGAAAGAGATTTCAATAGGAATGATTCAGATTTTAAACAGTGGAAAAAAAGCAAGTATACAGAAAACAGCAGTGCAAAATCATACAATAAAAGGATAAAAAGTGTGCTGAATCCATTCCCATTAGAGACAGCAAAAATTTTTAGTATGTTTCTCTAATACAGTTTCAGAATGAAGATGCCAGGCTTGAATGAATCATTATTGATGGTGGTGATTTCGGCTACTAACAATGATGTCTGCATGAACTATAAGGTATTGCAGCTGTGTTGATGGGTTATTTCTGTCACTAGGGGACTCGACATTGCATTAAGATTTGCTCCTTGTCTTGGCTTGCCTGGCTTGCCTTGTCTTGTACGCCAAAGCTATCACTGCAGCAGTACTTCAAATGGGAACCGTGGGAGGAAAGATGCACTAGTGGGAGGGGAACAGATGCAGAAGCTGCTGAAACCTTTCTCCTGCTCATCATTGTGGTGCTGTACCTAGATGAATACACAAAGTATACCCTGTGCTCTGTGACCAGTGTGGACTTCTATAGAGTTTATGGGCTATGGAGGGCAACTGAGTGTGTTTTGAGAACACTTGGTGTTGGCTACAAATAAGGTGGACTCACAGTCTGCCTACTGCACTGGCATTGCTCTGCTGAAGGACTCAATGTATGAGATAATCTGCCTGTATTTACCCCACCCCAGACCCAGTCATATTCACACGCACGATTAAGAGCTATTCATAAATCTCCATAATAGAACTGCTGCAGTTTTATTTTCTAAATACTCAGTTGGCCCAAATTCATCTTATGAGGTAGGATCTTCAGATATAGTACATAGCCCACAGTTTAGCAAACCATTTAAGTGTTTGCCTTTTAGGATGTTCTTAAGGACATTCATGCTCAGTAAAATATACAAGGATGTATTTAAACTCCATCAATTTAAATGAGATTAAAACATGCTGAAAATTAAGGATATGCTTAAATAGTTTAATCCAAGTGTTACATAAATAGCTTGTGTGACAAAGTAAAAAAGAAATGCAGAAATGTAGGCCTTTTTGTCATCTCACAACTTTGAAACAGATAAATGTATTTAAAATAGTTGATTTTTGTTATTTTATACACTAAGTTATACTGAGCTATATATATTTTATGGTATTTAATTTAAAACTAATTTAATAGAGTTAAAATTTAAACCTATTTTGCTAGCTGTATAATTTTGAATAATTCAAAAGAACTGACTCATTCCAGTGCAGTGGCCCAAAAATGCAAATGTGTATTGAAATTGCTATATATTAATCACCAGATTATATCTGTCATCCTGAAATAGTTGTCACGCAAACAATTATAAACATAACTTTATGTGAAGACGTTATAGTTTAAGCAACACAATCATAATTTTGCAAACATATCAGGCATTATGTCTGGTGCTAATGTCCTGGGTAAACATGATAATAATGGTAAATCTCTGAATTTTAATGTAAACTTTGTAATACAAGGCATTTAAAAAAAATTGACTTCTTGAAGTCTTGTGATTACATAAGTCTGACTGAACTAGATATTTTATGAAGATAGGTACTACATGAAGAAAAATAAAATGTGTAAAATACATTTGTAAAGATCCTGAAAATTGTAAAATAAATTTTATCTCTGTAGTCTAAGGATGGTAGGATGGTGTGGGCATCTGGCATTGCTGCATATTTTTGTATTTCATCTCACTCATAAATTCCTTTTTTCTAGAAGTTTCCTTTCTTAAAGTCCATGTCTTTTATATTCCTAAATTTCAGCTGCTGTGAATGCCTAATGTGGAGTCCTTAGTTGAGAGACTCAAGGAAACTGTGATCTATTACTGCTAAACTTCTCTGTATTTGTCACATAGTAGTATCCTCATTAACAGAGTGTAAATGATAGACTTGGTGATTGGTCTTCAGAAGTGTTGTCTAACACTTCATTTTTTGCACCTGCAGATTGCTACTGGGATTGAAACAAAGATCCTTGAGGGCTGTTAGTTTTTATGATGTGAGGTGCAAAAGTGACAGCATCATTTTAGTGCGAATTGTGGAGATTTTAAAGACCTAATTAGCACACTGCACGCTATATGCGAAACACTGGGTAAGATTCATCTCACCAAATTTAATGCTTACAGAGTGCATGCAGAACTAGCACTACATCAGAACTAGCTGCACATGCTACTTTAAGAAGCCGAAGAGGAGAAATAGGAACTTATCCCATTTCATTGCGATAGTGATCTAATGTCAAATTATTAATAATGTAGATAAACCTGTTTCAAGCCAATGGATGTAAAGGGAAAGTACACAGCCAGGTCAATATTAGATGCCAAATAATTAGAAAAAGTGCAGCCTCCCCAATCTGATCATATCATTTATTATTTCTGTAAGATTACTGTGTGCTACATTAAGGCCCTACGTGTACTCTTCACTGTTGAAAGCTAAATAATTACAATAGCTATGCATTATAATCATCAGCATTTGTGCTTTGCCCAGATAATGTACACCATATAATTACAGATTTAAATGATTAACACTATAACAATGGTGCGAACAATTAATGATTTTGTTGCCAGTGAAATCTGTTTTGACAAAGGCTAATGATACTTCACACTTGAAGCAACTGCATCTGTAACAGCATTTCTATCAAGGCTGCACCACTACCAACTACAGATGGATTCTGGATCCTTCCGATATAATACAATGGGACAAGATAAAGTCTGATGGCAAGAGATTTTTACTTTTCCAGAACATAGTACTATAACTTCTTGAATAAAATCTACTGTTGGTACAAGTTGTGTGAATGTGGCAAACCTATCTGAGAAAAATAATGCAGGAAGTGATTTCAGCTTCAGAAGCTCACCGTTTCTCAGATTTTAAACAGAAATGAGTTGTGACCTTCTGTATTAAGCAGTGAAAGAACACCATTCTGTGTCAGGAGAATGAATATTTAATTGGAACTGACTGTTAGTGCATTTGGAAACACCTGTTACATGTGCTTAATGGTATTTCATCCCCAGCCAGCATTTCTTCTGTGAGGTTGATATCAAGGGCTATAGAGCCACACAGGGACTACTGCAGCAAACATGTAGATAGATCAGGTACAAATTGGTCAAGATTTCCTGGTAGTTTTTAACAGTGTTAGAAACAAAACAGGAAAATAAACATCCACCCACCCGACCTTCTGTACAATTGCAGCAAAACTGTACACCACAGCACTTTATACAGTTTCCCCTGGGACATGATGGAAAAATCAACTAGGGTGTTTAGGTGGCAAAGAAACTGCTCTGTGCAGTATGTGAAGGTGTCCACCTACCAGAAGAACCAATGGTGCATATGGATCTCAAGGGAACACGTGCACCCACTCTCAGTAACACAGACAGGGTAAAGTGGCATTGGGCTATGGTGTGAAGAGCAGGAGAGGAATCACAGAATCGTTATGGTTGGAAACAACCTTTAAGATCATCAAGAGCAACCATTAACTAACTCTACTGTGCCCACTTCTAAACCATGTCCCTGAGCACCACATCTAGATGGCTTTTAAATGCATCCAAGGATGGTGTTTCAACCATTTCCCTGGACAGCCTGTTCCAGTCTTCGATAGCCCTTCAAGTGTAGAAGCTTTTCCCCATATCTAACCTAAACCTTCACTGGCATAACTTGATGCCATTTCCTCTTGCCCTATTGGTTGTAAGCTGTGAGAAGAGACCCACACCCATCTCTCTACAACCTCCTTTCAGGTAGTTGTAGAGAGCAATAACGTCTCCCTCAGCCTTGTTTTCTACAGACTAAACAACCTCAAGTCCTTTAGCTGTTCCTGATAAGGAGGAGAGCCTTTCACATGGCACAGAAAAGGATCAATCTCACTGGCTGGCACAAAATCCTTTAACGTGTTTGAAAATTAAGAGCTATAAAATATTTCCCAAATAGATCACCTAGTTAACTTGCTATTTCAGTTGCAAATTCTGTCCCAGCCCTGGCTGCATACAAAAATCCCTCCTTGAAGCACAGCCAACTACTCAGAGTACTTGTGTTTATGATTTGGAGATCTACCAGAGAAGATGAACATCCTTTTATAGCACAGCTTTGCAGTTAAGTCTCTGGCTGACTGATTTTTCTGCTTCCTCTATACAGAATAGGCCTGGGAACCTGTTTTTCTGTAAATCATCTGGCGACCAGTCAAGGAAGTTGCAGGGAGAATGCTATTCATGGATTCCCTATGGAAATCTTAAGCAGCAAATTTTTATAAGTTAATGGGAAGAACAATTTCCTTTAAAGCTACACCTGTACAAGTACATTAAACTTGCTTGGAGTAGCTCCTGACCTTAAGACCAGCTGGCACAGGACAGTCTGTGTCACTACCATGAAAGTTACTTAACCTCTAAAAAACGATGGCTTCATTCAAGCTGCTTACAGGGAACGGTCTCTCCCTCATACTGTTGTGCAGCTGGGCTTCAAAATTGTTTTGGAGAGTAATTATGGGCCAAAAATATAGCAGGGAAATTGTTGCAATTTGACAGTTAGGTAAGCAAGTTTCAATGCCCAGGGAAATGCCCTGGTACCACTGATATACTGGAATAGATGTAGCCTAAGGGAGCCTTTGGACAGCACAGTGAATATACTGGGCAACAGTGTACTTCTGTTAGTTCTTTCAATTAAAAACCAGCTCCAAGAGCTTTGCTGTGGTTTATTTCCAGAGCTCAATTCCAGAGCCACAATCAGACTGCAGCCTTCCTAAATAAATAGCTGTGCAGGAGCTTTTAAACTTGGCCACCAAACCTTCAAAGAGGCTTCATCTTATTTTTTCCCATTACAAAAAATGAAGTGTTGACCATGTATTCTAGGACATCCTCTTGATGCTGATGATTTGCAACAGGTTCCTTATGCCTTTAAAGTTTTGGTGCTTTCAGCTATGTTAACAGTTGCAGGTCACATACCTGTACTGGCATGAACCTCTGAGTGGGCTTCCTAATGGCAATTTGGACTACAGTCTACCACTAGGGCAGTCTGGGTTTGATGAAGTAAATTTTTCAAGATAAACAAAAAAAGCTCCACCAAACTGAAAGTTTCCTCTGTAATTTTCAACTAGATGATAGTGCACTGAAACTGTGCTATTGAAACTCTGTATCCGGACAGGGGAATTTTCTCACAATACGTAAAATTTCTCAGTTTTAAAAAATCTGCTGGTGTAAAACAATGCATAGCCATTGACATCTGTGTAATGGCTATTGCAATTAAAAGCCAGACAAGGAGTCGCCCTCGGTTTGATAAAATGAACCTGAAATAACCTTGACTTGTACATTCCTGAGATTTGAGATGCTTTCAAGCAACTTAAGTGGATATACATACTTGGTGATAATTCAGCTTTTCCACTCTTTAAAGACACAAGTGAGGTTGGTTCCTCCAAGAGCTTCCAAGAACAGACAGGGCTTTGTAAGGCTGGCATAACCTTCCCATTCCCATGTGGAGGTGAAATCAACAAAACACTAAGGCACCCTTTCCCATACTCCTACAGCACACAGTCCACTCATGTTGAGGAGTCCCTTGAACTGATGCTAATGGAGAAGACTTTGACAAAATTTATCAGCATACTTTGCTGACAGAAGTGAACAGAAATAGAGCTGCTAGAAAAGCCATTGGGCTTTTGTCACACATGGCCCTGTCATTGGAATTGCAAAAACTGCAACTGTGGATGGACCAACCAGTATGCAGGGACCAACCAGTATGCAGTAGTTTTTTACAGGGAGGTTAAGGCATGTTATGAGTTTACTGGGGAAAATGTTCTCATCCTAATTTGTTTAGGATTTTTTTTTTTACTCCATCACTGAAATGAAAAGTTCCTCTAAGAATTCTGATCAGTTCTCAGTGCAGATACCAGCAATTGCAGTCATCAGCAAACACAGCTTTCTTTGAGTTTTGATACTTTTTGGTAACACCAGATACTACAAATATTTCTTTGGGTTTGTTGGACCTCTTTTCATTAAATGTTACAACTTTATGTGTCAACTGTTATGCTATTCTGAATGATTGTCCTCCAGATCACTGTATAACATAATACTCTTGGTTGCTCAACTTGCCAGGTTTGCTCTTAAATTTTATCATTGATGTTCATCCTAAAAGTCTGTCTTAATTCTGAATTGCCTAATTGTGTACTGGTCTGTAGTGGTTTGTTATATTTGTTTAATATATGATGGTGGTTTCTTCTATTCTCAAACTAGGCCAAGAGTCCGATCTTTTTAAAAAGATCTGTCCACCATTCCATGGAAATGAAAAATGAGTGATATTCTTCCCAGCAAAGTTTTACAATGTATCAAGAATAGATGGTCTGTAACATTAGTTCTAACATTAATAAATTTTTAAGGGATGTATAAACTATGATGTTATAATGCTACAAGGGACTAGTTGAATAAATAGTAGAATTTTCATAAAATTATTTTAGTTTCTCTGGAAAATAAATGAAAGCACAAGAGATCTGAAACAGAATTCTGTTTCTTTTCTGTGACCCCAAGGTTAAATAAAAGTACGTACACTTCCTATTTTATAACTAATATCATGAAAAATTAAATCCTGCTTCAAAAATTGGTATGCTTACCCCATAAACAAGTTCTCCCACCATCCCATTCCAGATTTTTGTCTCTGGATCCCTTGCTCCATACTTTCCATCAGGAACAATGGCAATTTTGTACTTGATACCAATATGTTTTGCAATTTCTGATGCCAGATCTACACAGTATCCTTCAAACTTGTCATTCCCTTCAAACGTATCATGGTTTTTCTTGAACATAACATATGGGGCTTCCTACAATGAAAGAAGTAGAACTGTAAAGGAGAAGTATACAGAATATACTCTGAAAAGTAACATGTCATCTACTGACTGAACAACACATATTTTATCAAAAGTTCATAGATAGTATTAGCACATATAAAATAAAATGTATGAACAGAAATCCTTCTGGAAAGGTATACTATTTACACTGTAATTTGGCTTATACATTTGACAAGATTTACCAACCTTACAAATTATAAACACAAAAACTATCCAAGAATGCACATAAATTCTACTTTTTTTAAAATTAAAGACCTAAATTTAAAGTGTGAATAGAGGTTGAACATACACAATGTAGATGACCGTGGGATAATGCATGGTATAGTTTACTCTTTTGACTTCAGTAAGTAAGCATATCCTCTAACATAGCACGGTTACTGTCTATGTAATTTCAGATGCAGCCTGAATGATTTGCTTTCTTGCGGCTTAGAATGCATAGTTACTAAGAGGCTACATACATTTTAGTGAGAACAAAGAAATATGTTTCTGAGGAAACACCAATCTTCCCCTTCAAATAAACAGCGCAGATTCTGCAAGGTCTTTTAAGATAAATACAAGCAATATACATGGAAAAGAGCAGTATTGACACTGACTTTACAAGCTGCATGAAAAAGAAGTACCAAAATATTTTCAGTTGGTGAGGACCATTGAAAACAAGTAAAATCTGTCTCAAAAAGTGGATCCTAAATTCCCTAGGTAAAGCATACTATCACAATAGTAAGCATTATGTGACTGGGAAATCAAGGTAATTTTATTTTTTTTTTACTCCATGTGGATTCAGATTTTAGCAGTCATTATGTAAAACTACACTTTCTGGTGGTATTTTAAAACAGTTTACATAATTCATATTCATAGCCAGTTTCAGATACAATACTTGTCACTAATGTCACCCTTTCTTTGAATTTACATCGCAAAATATTGGCAACGTAAGTATTCTCTTTGCTGCCCTTGGCAAATGCTGTCTTTTTGTCACTAACCTTGGTAGTACTTTGCCCTATTCACATATTTCCTACAGAAATTAGTACAAAAGGAAGAATAAAGGTAAATGTGTAGTCTGAAAATGTCTGCTTCATTGAAACACCAACATCCCCTTTAACCTCTATTAGGTGTTTAACGATGGAGGATACGTGGCATTACATGAGCAATAGGGGGACTGAAAAAAATCCATTCCAAAATTTTTTAGTGTGTCATGTAAATTTTTCCTTTCAGAGAACAATATGCAGCTCCAAATAACAGGGTGTGGATTCACCCAAGAGAACTTGATAGGCAAGCTTGAACAGTATCTTTAAGAAACAGAAAGAGAGGTTGGTTATACATGGGAGGCACTATTCCCTTTACTTATGTAAGTTTACTCCCGGTGGTAACTCTGCCCAGGACTCACCTCATATAAAGGTGGCAGAATGGACCTTTGAGCAATGTGAGTGGAGAAAGTTGTGTAGTTAATTTTCTTTAATATGAGAGAAAGGTCTCAGATTTAATTCAACACATTTTGGAAATGGGGAAGTGCTAGTGTCTCCTTAAAGACAGTCAGGTTCCTAACTACTGCAGGAATGTTTCACTCTCAGGTGTATTCTCACAATACCTCTCCTCCCACCATTTCTTTCTTATGTTATTCTCTGCTATGGACTTGCCTCTGGGCCACACTCCCTTAGCAGTAATTCTGTACTGGAGGCTATTGATGCACTATGGCCATTACTTCAGCTAAGGAGTGACATGGCGTAGGAAAGTGTCCACAAGGTTCACTTCAAAAGTCAAACTCCATCCAACTACCTGGTTCCTTGGCCTATAGACAAGTATAAATGCCCAGAGAAATTTGAGAGTGACAACTGCAGATTGTTGCATTTCTTGAGCACATAGTTATGACCACTGCACTACAGCTAAAGATCACCAAGGACTTCTAAAACGGCGGCAATCACAAAACATGCTGTTACCATCCTGATGCACGTGGCTTGGGCACTAAGAACTATGAACTGTAATTATGACAGTGATGCAGTGCAATGCCTTTGCCCATACAGAGTTTGTATCTTCAAAGGAAAACTGCTGAGTACTACGAGCAGGCTGCATCATATTTTGTATTCCTACCCCCAGTTAAACTGGCTTAACCTCAACAAGCTGTATTTCAGAGGGAGGGAGAAGAGCAGGGAGAAGGGGTCCAGAGACAAGGGGTCCTGTCCTCTCTTTGCAGTAGATCTTGGTTTTGTAAAGTATTTGAGGCACATGAATCAAATGCTCCCCCCTCATGGAGGCTTTTTGTTCCCATGAGAGGAAAAGCTAAAATCTGGGTCTTTCTACATGTTATTTCACAAAAAATGGTTAAAATTAAACATGTCTCCTGACTGATTTAGCCAGCTTCTAGCTAGAAATACAGCCAAGTCTTGTCCAGTATCCTGCATTTGTGGACTTTCCATACAGGCTTCAGTTACATTTGCTTGCTGCATCTCAAAAGCAATTTTGTTTTGCAAAGACCAGAGTTAGGGACTGCTAGCTCTTCTGATTCAGCCTTTCTTATAAATCCCAAGGCAAAGGCCTATAATTAAATTCACACCATGAAATAATTCTAGAGAGGGACACCAACCAGACAGAAACAGAGGAGGCCAGGTCAGCCTGCTCCTTCTCCCAAAATCCAGACACTATGCTTCTGCCTGCACCTCACCACTGACAAGAGTTGTGACCAAAAAGCATTTCAACTGTTTCTGCACAGCAGAACAAAGAGACAGATGTCTTCTTTCTCCTCTTAATGGCTAAATAAACTTCAACACTTCTCCCCATGAGTTCTGTGAGGGAACGCTGAGAAGAGAAGCAGTGGGGTCCAGTACTGTCCTTGGTGGGTGCAAGCAGGGGCAATTCCATCCAGTGGAGGGACCCAGGACTCAGAAGGCCTGGGTTCCTGCAGGGATCTGTTGGGTGACTTGGAGGAACCACACTGGCTCTCTTCCCATCCACTTCTCCTTCGACACACTCTGATCTTACTGATATAGAGCAAAATACAGCAAGGAACACCTCTTGTAATGCGATTCTCTTATAGAGTAAGGTAGTACCTCTTGCTGTGACTGCCTTAAAAGAAGCAGCAATTGAGATCTGCCAGTGTGAAACAATACAATTAAAAATAATGGGAACACCTACTACCTTTTGCTTACTATGTCGTCTTTTCCCTCCTATGTATTTTACACAGAATAAATAACAGTTTCTTTAATTGTTGTGCCCACTTTGCCTGCCAAATAATGACAGACGTATTTTCAAGATAGAATTTACTGGAGGGATGTGAGTGGCTTTCTGATAATGAATGTTTGCCAAAAAAAATGGAACAGTGGCACTAGTTTTAAATTCTGTTCATTTGAGACTTTGAGGTGTTTCAAACTAATGAGGTGTGCCAATGTTATTATAGTAACACTGAAAGGAAAGTTTTAGTAGTTTGCTAACAAGCAGCTTACACAGATGAATTCTCAAATTCACATTGTAAAGTCATGAAATATCTGAATTGATCAATAGCATGTACTCAGCCATATCCTGATGCTCTTTTTTATCTGTGGCACTGAAAAAGGTGGTGTTTTTTCTGTATAATCTATTACAATAGTATTTTCTAAATTAGCAGTAATGTTAGTGTAACCCTGCTAGTCTAAAGACATAAGAGATGCAAGATATCTATGGAGAGGTAATATCTTCTATTAGATCAGCTGAAATAGCTGAAAACAGTAGACACACTTTCTCACCATTTCCAGTTATAGGATCTAGTCTAATAAAAATATTACTTCTCCCCACCATCTTTGTATTTGCTACATTTTTGAGCTATAAACTCTTAACCTACTGACGTAAAACACAGGTTTGACATACTGCTGAATGAGGTTTAACACCATAATATTTGCAAGATTTCAGCTGGTTAATAGTATTCTATGGGGTAGTGAATCAAGGAAAAATCCACATTGAAATGATTAATGACTAGCACGGAACAGATATTTGAAATGGTGCAAGCTTTACTGATATAATTCACAATTTTATAACAATACTTAACATTTGTAAGTACAAGTTGATGTCTGCAACAATTACCTTTATAGATGTAAACAAATCATTCCACCACATTGCAACAAATTCATGTGTACAGTAAAATGCTCACAACTGATGATTCATACTATAAGAAAAGCTGGAGAAAGTAACTAATTCAAATACCAAACAGATCTACGTTTGGCTTTCCTATTCTAAAGTTAATTTCAAAATCTTTAAACATTGTAAAAATAACTTGTAAAAGTGACAAGTATTTGTGCAAGGAAATGTCTCATTTTTAGAACAGGAGTGGCACACATTATCACACTTTATTCTGAAAGAAACTTATGTGGATGTCAATTGAAGGTATTTTGGTTTTTTGTGGTTTTGTTTTTGGTTTCGTGTAGG